GGAGGCCCTGAGGAGGAGGAAGGTGATGGTGAGGAGGAGGATGGAGACCCTGGGGAGGAAGAGGAAGGAGGTGACACTGAGGTGACCTCGAGGAAGAAGAGGGTGATGAAGATGGAGACCCCAAGGAGGCTGAAGACCAGGAGAAGGACGGTGAGGAAGGTGGAGGCCCTGAGGAAAAAGATGATGATGATGAAGATGGATTTGGGGCAAGAAATGGGCCAAATGGGGCTTCTGGGCACCCCCTCAGCCTTCCTCCCCCCTTCTCCTCCTCCTCCTCCTCCTCCTCATTGTCCCCATCCTGGACACCCCAATAAACCCTCTGCCCTTGGCACCGTCTGCAGCTTTAATGAGGGCGGGGCCCCGCTAACGAGGGGGGCCCTAACGAAGCCAAAGGGGGTGGGGGAGGGGGTCAGGAACCCCAATGTCCTGGGTGGGGGGCACCCCCATGTCCAAGGGACCCAGGTGTCCGGGAGCACCTTGACCTCCACGACCATGAACGTCCAACGTTGGGGTTCTCCAGAAGAACCTCGACCTCCACGATGACGAACGTCCAACGTTGGGGTTCTCCAGGAGGACCTCGACCTCCATGAACATCAAACATGGGGAGGTTCTCCAGAACCTTGACCTCCGTGATGGTGAACATCCAACTTGTGTGTGGGGAGGGTGTTCTTCAGAAGAACCTTGACCTCCAAGATGATGGATGTCCAACACGGGGAGGTTCCCCAGAAGAACCTTGACCTCCATGACGATGATGAACGTCCAAAGTGGGCGTTCTCCAGGAGCACCTCGATCTCCATGATGCTCAATGTCCAACATGGGGGTGTTCTCCAGGAGGACCTTCACCTCCACGATGACGAACATCCATCAGTGGGAGGTTCTCCAGAAGAACCTTGACCTCCACGATGCCGGATGTCCAACGTTGGAGGGTTCTCCAGAAGAACCTTGACCTCCACAATGCTAGATGTGCAACAGGGGTTCTCCAGGAGCACCTCGATCTCCATGATGCTCAGTGTCCAACGTTGGGAGGTTCTCCAGGAGGACCTCGACCTCCACGAACATCAAACATGGGGAGGTTCTCCAGAACCTTGACCTCCGTGATGGTGAACATCCAACTTGTGTGTGGGGAGGGTGTTCTTCAGAAGAACCTTGACCTCCAAGATGATGGATGTCCAACACGGGGAGGTTCCCCAGAAGAACCTTGACCTCCATGACGATGATGAACGTCCAAAGTGGGCGTTCTCCAGGAGCACCTCGATCTCCATGATGCTCAATGTCCAACATGGGGGTGTTCTCCAGGAGGACCTTCACCTCCACGATGACGAACATCCATCAGTGGGAGGTTCTCCAGAAGAACCTTGACCTCCACGATGCCGGATGTCCAACGTTGGAGGGTTCTCCAGAAGAACCTTGACCTCCACAATGCTAGATGTGCAACATGGGGAGGTTCTCCAGAAGAACCTTGACCTCCACGATGCTGGATGTTCAACGTGGGGAGGTTCTCCAGAAGAACCTTGACCCCCACGATGCCGGATGATCAACGTGGGGAGGTTCTCCAGAAGAACTTTGACCTCCACGATGCTGGATGTCCAACATGAGGAGGTTCTCCAGAAGAACCTTGACCTCCACAACCATGAATGTCCAATCTTTGGAGGTTCTCCAGAAGAACCTTGGCCTCCATAAACGATGGCCATCCAACGTTGGGGGGTTCTCAAGAACCTTGACCTCCACGACGCCGGATGTTCGACGTTGGAGGTTCTCCAGAAGAACCTTGACCCCCACGATGCTGGATGTCCAACATGAGGAGGTTCTCCAGAAGAACCTTGACCTCCACAACCATGAATGTCCAATCTTTGGAGGTTCTCCAGAAGAACCTTGGCCTCCATGAACGATGGCCGTCCAATGTTGGGGGGTTCTCCAGAAGAACCTTGGCCTCCACGATGCTGGATGATCAACGTGGGAGGTTCTCCAGAAGAACCTTGACCCCCACGATGCCGGATGATCAACGTGGGGAGGTTCTCCAGAAGAACCTTGACCTCCACGATGCTGGATGTCCACCATGGGGAGGTTCTCCAGGAGAACCTTGACCTCCACATCCAGGAACGTCCAATCTTTGGGGGTTCTCCAGAAGAACCTTGACCTCCGTGAGGTTGAACGTCCAACGTGGGGGTCTCCAGGCGGTGGGGCGGGGGTCTCCCAGACGTCCAGGTGTCCCCCCTAGATCCGGAAGCTCTCCCCCTTGCCATCGATGTGACGTAGGCGCAGGTAGACGTCGGTGCCCACCCCCTGCAGGGACTGGAGGCAGAGGGAGCCCCCCAAGTACTCGGCGTAGGCCCGGGAGGTGGGCAACCCGAACCCGAACCTGTGGGGCGGCCGTGGGTCAACCAGGAGGTCCCCGAAAGCTTCAGAGGAACCTCTCCTTGGTGGCCCTCCGTAAGGGACGTACCCGTGCATGGGGCAGGCCTGGCCGCTGTTGCTGAGGTCCAGGAGGTTACGGAAGGGACCCCCCAAACGTGGGTCCTGGGCGCTGGCCTCGGCCGTGCTGAAGTGGTACTCGGTCACCTTGTCCAGCAGGTCGTGGGGGATCCCACCGCCCCGGTCGGAGATCCTGGGGGGGGTGGGGACACCTCAGGGGTCTTGGGGATGGGCGTGGGGACCATCCATGGGGACACCATGGAGAACCCTCGCTAGATGAGAACATCTTGGGGACACCAGGGATGGGGGGACACCATGGAGAACCCCCTAGATGAGAACATCTTGGGGACACCATGGAGAACCCTTGCTAGATGAGAACACCTTGGGGACACCAGGGATGGGGGGACACCATGGAGAACCTCCCTAGATGAGAACATCTTGGGGACACCATGGAGAACCCTCCCTAGATGAGAACATTTTGGGGACACCAGGGATGGGGGGACACCACGGAGAACCATCTATGGGGACACCAGGGATGGGGGGACACCATGGAGAACCCCAGTAGATGAGAACACCTTGGGGACACCATGGAGAACCCTCCCTAGATGAGAACATTTTGGGGACACCAGGGATGGGGGGACACCACGGAGAACCATCTATGGGGACACCAGGGATGGGGGGACACCATGGAGAACCCCAGTAGATGAGAACACCTTGGGGACACCATGGAGAACCCCCCTAGATGAGAACATCTTGGGGACACCATGGAGAACCCCCCTAGATGGGAACATTTGGGGACACCAGGGATGGGGGGACACCATGGAGAACCCTCGCTAGATGAGAACACCTTGGGGACACCAGGGATGGGGGGACACCATGGAGAACCCTCGCTAGATGAGAACACCTTGGGGACACCAGGGATGGGGGGACACCATGGAGAACCCCAGTAGATGAGAACATTTGGGGGACACCAGGGATGGGGGGACACCATGGAGAACCCTCACTAGATGAGAACACCTTGGGGACACCAGGGATATGGGGACACCATGGAGAACCTCCCTAGATGAGAACACCTTGGGGACACCAGGGATGGGGGGACACCATGGAGAACCCTCGCTAGATGAGAACATTCTGGGGACACCAGGGATGGGGGGACACCATGGAGAACCTCCCTAGATGAGAACACCTTGGGGACACCAGGGATGGGGGGACACCAGGGATGGGGGGACACCATGGAGAACCTCCCTAGATGAGACCATCTTGGGAACACCATGAGGACCATCCATGGGGACCCCATGGAGAACCTCCTGATGGGCCCATCACGAAGACCATCCATGGGGCCATGAAGACCCCATGGAGAACCCCCCAGAGACCCTCGGTGGGGACCCCCTGGGGACCCTCCAGGAGCTCAGCCCCCCCCGGTGACACCCCCCGGTACCGGATGACGAGGTCGATGTCGTTGTTGGCGATGGTCACCACGATGTCGGGGACGTTGTAGGGCGTGTCCAGGTGGGACTCCATCGTCGCCCTGCGCCGCCCCATGGAGATGGTCACCTACGGACCCCTATGGCCCCATATACCCCCCTATAGACCCCTCTCCCACCCCATAAGACCCCACAGATCCCCTATAGACCCCACACCCACCCCACAAGACCCTACACGCCCT